CCGGCAAAGCACCTAGCACCGTTCTATATTTGTCTATACTCTTAAGGTGTCGTCATTGGCGATGACTTGAAAATTCAGGGAGAAAATGGCACAGAGCTACACGCAAAGAAAAGTCACTCAAATTTAAATGAAATGTCTTTCAGGCATTAAATCATTAGAAGTCTCCTAAATTATTAGACCAGACCAGAGCTAGTGTTATGACTTGGGATCAAAACAAAATGTGGTATTTGTAAAGTTCAAGGGGATTTTCATATGCATGCCTGGTTTTTCCCTGTGCAACTGGGGATTGCTTTATTTGCGAAGGTCGGTTCATGCGTGTGACTGTGCTCCAAGGAAAAGGGAGGAGCACAAAGTTAGGAAGCAGAGTAAACATCATTTTCCAGCCAGAGTCAACGAAGACATCTAGTGTCCAGGGAGGCGAATGGAGAAAGAACTGCACGAGGAGTTCGGGCCGAAACGCATTTAGGACCACCAAACACTTCCGGCATCCCTTTCGCCGTCCTCGGCCGGAAGCATTAAGCTGCGGAATGGCTTCTCCGCCAGCAGAGGCCATTGCCAATGCGACTCCGAGTGCCGCGAGTTATGGTGACGACCCGCAACTTGGACGTTTGCAGATTGTTTGCGAATTGCCTCTGGCAATCAGGGATTTAAGCCATCGTGATAACTCCAAAAGAAAGAGCTGCAAAGGAAGGTGCTTTCTCGATTGGCAACATCAAACGAGTCGCGTCTCCTTGAGAACAGATCTTATGGCATTACTAGTCGATTAATAACGCGGGAGACAAAGCTGCCAAATTAATTATACCAATTTTAATCCCTTCGCCAGTGGCTTTGTCTTGGCAAATAACATTCCGACTGGTTAATCCCGGCCATTAACTGAAAAATTGGCTTTCAGTGGCAGATGCGGCTCAGCCAGTTTTGGATTTGATATTTTCATGAACACGTCGGCCAGATTGAACATTTTTTTGCGAGCCCGCTCCCTTTTGATGTGGGACACTCCCAGAACTTAAGCCTGGTCTTATCCCTAATTTCAAGCAGGCCATTTTCCTGTGTTTTTGCTGCCCAGCCATCAAAACTAAGCCCTGCCCCCCAGTTGGAGATCCCATCCCAGATCCGAGTGGTTATCCCCGCTCTGTGCCTTGTCGTTATCTGTTTTCTGCTGCCTCCCATTTATTTTTTGCTCTGGCTCCCTGCGAATGCATAAACAAATTGAAGATAAACATACTTATGTGTGTATATCTGTATGAAAGAGCACTGAAAAAAACATATGAGAAGTATTTATAGGCTATAATAAGTTTTATAAACAACGTTTTTATAATAAGTAAGCATTTACACAGCCTGAAATATTGTGGAATATATTTGGAACAAAGCAAGCTACAAAAAGTATATTGCCATAATCCATGTTGGTCCTTTTTAAGTACCAATTGTGTTGAGTGCATGCACTTTGGCTCTGGACGAGCCGAACTTGAAGCATGTTGCAATTTCAGCCAGCAGAATCCGCGAATCCGCCTCCTCGGCAAATGGAATTGTTTTCCCTGAAGCTGCCAGCATTTGTGTCAGAAATGCCTTAATTTATAGAAAATGTATCTGCTGGATGGGAAACGACTCCATCTCCATCTCCATCCCGGGGCTGCCATGAATGTCACATGGGTTTCAACGTCCTGCGCGGCTTTCGTTTGTCTTTCACTTCACACAGAAAACCCGACAGCCCGAAGGCAGCCCCGATTTGCTCTTGTCCTTCGCCCAACTCCCCCTGCTCCACACCACCACATCTGAATGTTGCTGCCCCCCATCTATCTCGGTGTATCTCCCAATCTCCCATTCCCGGGGGGATCAGCGCAGATGCATGATAATCCCGATACGTACATGGGGGTAAACACAGCCAACTCGACGCCACGCCTCGCAATCCTGTCCAGAAATGATTGAGGGATTTCTGGCCGCCTAGGAGCCAATGATAACGGAAGCGGCAACCGAGCACTTTGCGCTCCATTTTCACTCCACACAACGTAATTGATATTTTACAATTGTCTCTGCCGGTTCATTTCCTTGTGCTTTTGTCCTCGTTCCCTCGATCCCCGACCCCATATCTCCATGGCAAATTGTGCAGAAATTCTATTTCTATTCCCCACTCCAACCTCCACCGCCCTCAAGTTGCCATATGCGATGCAGATATAGATGCGGATGCGGATGCGGATACAGATGCACATGGATCTCGGTGCTGGCCCATTTGTCGCTGTCGATGTTCCACTCCCAGCTGAGTGAAATTATTCAAGCAGCAGCATCTGCAAGTGAATTTATCAGGACGAAAAAGGAACTCCGGTGGCATAACTTCTGCAGTACATATGCAGAGATCTCTCCAGAAAATCGTGTAATTTTTCAAAACTATCTGATGGGTCAGCATAATATATTTAGTTAGCTATTTTGTTAAATACTTATTAATCTTTCAAATCAAAAACTGGAATAGACTCTTATGCAGATATGTTAGAATTTTAGTTGGCCAATACTAGCACAGAACCCCTTAATATTCCCTAAACGAAATTAAATATAGTAACTTATATTTTTATTTATATTGTTCTTTGTATTTAAATCGCAATGAAAAAGCCATTAGCCGGTCCTAAAACAAACTGACCACTATGTTACGGCCATATTTCGTTGGTATCATGATTGTTAGCCATTACTTAACGCTAATCTGTTAATCCCTCGTTAAGGCCATGACTCGTGAGTTATTTTCTCTGGCTTGTTTATTCACTAGAATGTTGAATGTTGTGCAAAGTACAGAGCACAAGCGGAATAGCTACCTCCAAAAATTTCTACTAACGAAAAGGCCACGGAAAATTACTTACCAAGTGGCTTGCGGCCAATTTGTGCAGGTGGCAAAGGAGGTGGGGGCGGCCCCACGCCACGCCCACGCTCTCCACCACCCACTATACGCCCAGTTCAGCTCTTTGGTACACTCGGCTATTTACTTTGCCGGAGATCAAAGCGAAATGTGTAACGAAATTGCCAATTACATATAAAGCAAAAGGAACTGTCTACCTAGTCGGGGAGTTAGGATCCGTTTTGCTTGGCAGCGATGCACAGGAAGAAATCCAAAGCTAGATGCGTTAAATAAAATAATTTCAGTTTAAATAGCGCATATTTATATGATATCATACAAATTGGTGGTCAGTTAGCTTAGGAAAGTAGTAGCCCGAAAAAGTATGCTACACATTTTAATTAGTACTCCCTTGTAGTTTCGCTCTGTGCAGGGAAGCAATAGGGTCTAAAACAAAGGGCAGCCAAGACTGTCAGCAATTCAATCCAAATTGTGAATTCAATTTTGAAGTTGGCAATGCGGCGAGGACAACATTTGTGACCGAAAATGAGGCATTTTCAGAGCGGAGCCGCCCGGGCCAGGAGCTCACATGATGGCACTTTTTGCCCATCATCCGGCTCCTGTGACTGAGGGCGTAAAACGAATTTGTAGTAAATTCCTTGGGCTTGCTCCTGCTCCCGCTCCTGCTGCTGCTCCACATCTCTCCCATCTGGCCAGGATGCGGCGTCATCTTTTCGTGTGCGTTTTATTGGGGCCAAAATTGAATTAGTGCGCCGGCGGTGGCGACGGCGACGGCGACGGCGGCGGTGGGAGCGGCGGTGGGAGCGGAAGCGGTTGCTAGGCAGGAAATTGCCTGAAATCAGGCGCACGTAAGCTCGGGGGTGCCCCACTTAAACCCAGACCCACCCACACACCCACACACTCACCCACTTACAATATTGTGTTTCATTAAAAATCCGCCCGATGTCCTGCGTTGGTTTTATGCCACAGCATGTGGAATGAGGGGAGTTCGAGTCGCTGGTTCATTTGCATGCCACGACGTCCAGAGGAGCAGCTCCTCCAAATGGCTCTCGTTTCATGTTAATGCATTTGGCACTTAAGCGCCATAGTTTGCGCCATCAAACTAATTAAAAGTTGCTTAAATAATGCGATATTATTTTCGCATTGCCGCCCGCCTGCAGCTGGCTTCGACTTTCTGGCGCTCTCCTCGGGTCGTTGAGGTCGTTTTGATTGAGCCGCGGCAAATTAAAAGTTCAGCTGCCAGAACTGTCCCCTTGGACCGTTCAAACTTATCACTGAAAGTGGCGAACGATGGTAAAGTTCCTTTCATTAGACAGAAATATCTCTGGGAGGCCGATTGGGGAAAAACACTGAAACTTTTCCTCCTTTAAGCCCAGGCCATTATTTTCCAGCTACAAACTAACTTTATATGTGCCAATTAAAAGCTGTTTGACTTCATATTTTTCACTAAATAAATTATGATAATTTCGCTGACTTACGACAAGCTTCCTTGCTTATTTAAACATCCGCTTTGACTGCAAAATAATTGGCAAATGATACTGAAACGTATTTACACATTTTTTAGAGCTCCCTTTGCGAGTGCATTAGGTATTAACGTGTGCGTTGAATTCCTGATCAGGCATTATGCAAATCCACCGCATCCAGTTGCCCAACTGCAGTCGACTGCAGTCTGGAAGGGCATAATAAACGCAACTGGTGAGCTCGGAAACATGTGCAAGTAATACGCGAAGCGAAGCGTAAATGAATTTTTCATCCTTCCATTAAAATTTAAGTGCACATTTTCCGGCGCAGCGCACGAGACGCCGCAGCGCCATTAAGCCAAAGGAAGTTGCCAGTGGAGACGTCCTGCAGATTTCTGTGGCAAGTGATGGGTTATGGTTATGTGGGTTATGGAAATATTGAATAAAGTACGCGTAGAACGAAGCTGGACGAAGATGTCACAAAACCCACAAATAAAGTTTCAAATGGAGCTAAATATTATACGTGATTATTAGAGTAACCTATACAGACTGCTTAAAATATGCTTATAAGCATACATAAGCTATAGCTTATTAATTAATTTTCCTCTGATAATTAGTTTTATGAAAATTTGATAAACTACCTCCTAGGATTAAGTTTTCCTTAAGATACAAACATTAACTAAAATTTCTCTTCCCGTTCCATGCAGATTACATGCAGTCGCTGTGCAAGAACCACTTCCTCCAGCAGCTGTACCGCAAGATCGATGGAGCAGTGCTCTGGTCCCAGAACGAGCGGAATCTGGACTGCATCATCACCTTCCAGACGCACTCGGTGCTGCAGCGCTTCATGCTCCGCTTCGACATGCTGCAGTTGGACTGCAACGATCACCTGCTGGTTTACGACGGAGCCCATGCCGTCGCCACGCCCAAGGTGAGTCCCTGGATTCCGTCTCAATCCCTCCCTTGGGGCGGTAATTATGCCGACACTGGCATCTGCCTTCGGGAATCCGCCCGTGGGTGCGATACGTGCCCCACATTTTTATTAGCGAAATGGCGCATTTGCATATGCAAATCGAAAAGGCAAAGTGAATCTGTTCTACGGCATTTCACATCCATGACGTTCGAGGCGGGTACATTTAGGCAAAATTCTAATAATCAAAGGTGTTTGGAAGTTTCTGACAACGCACTTATTTATTCAAGGAATTTACCAAGCAGCTTTCATCACATTTCAATCAATACCACGTTCACAATATTGTGAATACCTCTATCACATCAATAATTCACGTTTTAAGAAATATGATATATGGATTTCTTAGAGCGACTATATTATTTTCAATCTATTTTTATTAACCCATTAGAGGACACCTTAGTTGGGTATACCAAAGTATAGAAGTCAGCCAAATACCTTGAATTGGATTAAAGCATAACCGAAAGAATGTTGACAATATCAGAGATTATTGTAATACATAGTTCTTGTATAAGTTCGTGTGCACTTTCTCAGTGTATCGATGCACTAGCTTATGGATTCGCCTGGAAATGGCTAATCACATGAGTGAGTCACCCAACGCCGTGTGAACAATTAAATTGCGGCAGGAACGCAGTCGGAGCTTGCCACTTGTGCCACCCATGTACATGTGCATCGAATTCCTGGGAGGTGGATTCCCGAGGATGGGGCATCTGCGCGGAGCAGTAATTATGTGCATGTGTAGGGGGAAGGAAAGGATAGATGCGATGGGAGCTGTGGATGTGGGCTTAGTGGCACAGTAGATTGAATTATTAGGAACTGAACTGTGAAACAGGCAATTCAAATTCGAATCACTCATGGCAGAACGATATGTATGCAAATGTGGATATATGCTAAGTGAATTAAGCGATGTTGCTTCTCCATTTTCGAAATCAAATAAAAGTCATTGATTCTCCTGCAGCATAGTGTGCAAATCAGATTTCCCCCATCTATCTCACTTTCTGTCAATAAAAACAAAAAAACACCAGCCCACAGAAATATAAATATTTATTTATAGATTTTTGATTCGTTTGTTTAACCATCGGAAACACCGATGTGTTTACATGGGGCGGGTAATGTATATTTAATTTGTCCCAGATGGGAAAAGATACCATCCAGGCCATCAGCGTGCATATTCATATATTTGCATACCTACTTTCATTATGGAATCATTTGCTGGCGTAGGTGTGTATATGGAAACATGAATAGCCTAATATACGTGCACTGCGCTGAAAAAGTGCCTGCCCAAATGTGCCGAAAAAACTCATTTTCATAATTTTCATTTTAGCATAACACATTTGTTCGTTTAATACAAAATATAAAAATTATATTCATGTTTAAATAAACAAATCAACACGCATTCCTTACTTGCGTTCATCTCTCAATTACTTGGTGAGTGTTAGTCAGCTTACATCTCAGTTTTGGTAATGTCTTGCCAAGTTGCGTGGAATTGGCCAGGGAGTAGGGAACCATTGATGCGTTCCCCTATCGATTACATGCCACATCCCTGGAGCTGCATCCCGGCTAAGCAACGTTTAAGGAATCCAATGGCGCCGCACATCCTTACGTATATGCAAATATGCGCTGGCATCACATGTCGATAGTTAAGGCCAATCATTGCTTAGTTTGCGACACTCGAAGGCGGCTTGGGTGGATTGGATGGACTGGGTGGCTTGCTGGCTATACGTATCCACTGCAATTTGTTGCCCATAGAGACGGGGGTGGCGGGGGATGTGGGAGCAGGTGGAGATCTGGGGGCGCGGCAGCCGCAGCCACCGCATTATCCAGATCACGTTGATGCCTCTGACATTTTAGGTTCAATCCCTGTGGGGCTTCCGCTCAGCCAACATGGGATGCTCCACATACCCGGACACACATGCAGGCATAATTTTGTCGCTGCAACATTTGCAATGATGACAGCCAGCAAGGATGTTGGAAAAGTGGGTGGTTGGCTGGTTCGGTTGCCACTGCGGCTGCAATGCGGCAACAGCTTCTGGTGGCGCTGCTTCTTCTGCTGATAGCTCTGTGATTTTATCAGCAACAATTTCCATTTTTCATTCGCCACCACCCCGCTTTCCGCCCACTCACTGCATTATTTAATGCGGTCTGCGGGGGGTGGTGGGTGGTGGGTGGTGTGTGTTGGGTGGTGGGTGCAAGGGAAAATGCAGTGCTGGTGGTTTGTGTGCAATGTGAGCCAAGGAAAGTGGCCACAAATAGAGCGCGCATAAGCCAAATCCTTTATTTGCCAAAGGAAGCTGCGACAGTGGCACTAAAAAATATGCATAAAAAATGTTCAACTAGAAAATTAGAAAAATGCCAGCCAAGGCAGACCCACCTCCCCCCTCCCCCCGCGCTTTCACTCTCTTTATCTGGTTTTTTCTCCGGGGAAAACCTTGAAAGTGCATGTGCCAAAGCTGAAAACAAAAATGTTTCAGCCGCTTTCTGTCGCCTGTGTGGCGCGCGACCCAATTTCCCATCTGCTGGTGGAGGATTCTCGTGGATCTGGGGCTACTCGTCCGGACTTCGGAGCCAGTGACACTGGGCCACTGCCAAAGCGCTGTCATCTTCCAGGGAAAAGACTGAGTGCAACCAACATTTTGGCTGCTCAGATTGGGGGTAAAAACTATATTGTTTAGGGCATATCTTAGGTACCCATGGCAAATGAAATAATAATATTTAGGTCTGGAAAAATGATAGTTACAAGGAAATGGAAACATCTACTACTGAAAACAGTGATAACTTGAAAGAAACAACATTGAGTATACGTCACGTTGGCAGCTGTAATTATTAAGAATATTACGTATACGCAAAGTTGGCTACATACATTTCGAAAGCTATTGATTTTACTGAAATACTTTTTAATCAATATTCGCAGCGAGTGTAACTTGGACTCCATCTAAATCCGAAGTAGCACATTAAAAATATGGCCAAACTTCCGATATGAAATTCAGGTTATAACCTGTAACAAAAGTTAAGGCGAATCGAAATTGCAACTGAAACGAGGTCGTAAAGAAAGTAATTCCGTTGGTTTTTGCATCCCCAAAATAAGAGCCATCTTCGAACATTATTGAGCAGCACTCCAAGAAGCCACATCAATATCGATGGCAACAAAATTAACCTTAATTATGAGGGCTCAGTGCTTGAGACGCCGTGTTCATGTGACAGTTATTATCCATGGAGGAGGGCACTGATTTCCAGCAGGTTCTCCATGAAAGGGAACCCATCGTAAATAAGTTAGCAGGCGAATGGAAGGCCATAAAAGCGAGAGTATCGTAAAATCGTTCTGCCAAATCAGCGACGCCTTTGGAGAAGGACCACAACAAGGACAACAAGCGAGCTCAACAGGCGCCATCACTCAATGGGCCAGAAACGGGAATGGGATGGGTTGGAATGGAGTGGGATGAGGATAGGAACTGGGATGTGGAATGGGAATGACCGGGGCCACAACCTTAAATCAAACAAGGTCAGCACGCACGTACGCCTTCATGGCCAAAACAACGAGAATGGATGAGGCACTGAATCACCGGAATCGCCTCGTTCGGCCATTAGGAGGATGCAGTGCCGCCTGTCAAATTAAGACACTCTTATCGCCCATCGACGGTATTAATTTGTGGCCAAATACGGCTGCAATAAATAAGGTTATCACATTATGTACAGTCCTATAATACATGAATTATAATTCATTTAAACCAGCAACACAACTTCATATCATGAGAAAGTTTAGCCAAAATACATTGAGTTTAAGATTCATTTAAAAATGTGTTTCAAACAAGTTAAAGCTTTACTATTAATACTTAGAAACTAGAGAATTTCCGTCTAAGTGCATTCCAAGCCCATTGCCTTCAACATCATATTTTTAATAAGCCAGCAAGGATCCATTACCTGTGCAGTTGGCATCTAAATGGTTGCGATAAGTACCTTGGTGGATACATATATTTGTCGAGTGACTTGTTTTGCACTCCCTCTGTGCATATTTGAAGATTCAGAAGTTGGGAATCAGACGACTTGCGGTATTTGCCACCTAAGCAGCTTTGTAAGTTGTCCGCCATTGGGGGCAGGATTGGGGCAGCCGAGGAGGTGTGCCGGCCAGGATTTATGAATTTGACTTGAGTTGGGACCACTTTACACCACTTGCTGCCACTTTGGGGGCAGTGGCAAAGTGGCAAAAGTATGTAAATTCGCTCCACGCCGCCCGCAGCAAAGGCCAAAAAAACCGGGAAACGAATACAATTTTACGAATATGTAAATAGTTTTTGACAAAAGATGTTGTCACTGCATCAAGTTGGGCGGTGGCCGCAAAAATCCAAAATTAAAATTTTCCAGCACACACACACAAAAAGGGGCAAAAGTTTGCATTTTCGGGCTGCAACAAAATTAAAACATGCCACAAAGCGCGGCACGTCGAAGATGCAGCAGCACACACGATGGGGCACAGGACGAGCAAGGACCAGCAACGGGCTGCTGTGTCAAGAAAAGCAGCCACAGCAAAGCCTACAAATGTCGGGGAGGAGATGCTGGCGGGACGTTGATGAACCCCCCGTGGAACTTTCATGAGCCAAAGCCAACAACATTACAAATTTACACAGCTGCGGGCGGGAGGTGGGCTGTGCGACGTGGTCGGAGTGGGCGGAGATCCTGGTGATGAACCAGGCGACGTGACGCATACACGTGCCAAGCGAGGGGGGGGCAACGGGGGACGCAAGGACCTCAAAGGAGGCGGAGACATCATCATCATTTTGCACTTTGCGGCAGTGGCAGGGTGGCATTGAGGCTGGGAATGTGTATGCCGATAACGTGACCAACCCGCAGACGACAGTGGAAAAAGTTTGCCAAGCTCTGCAATTTAATTGCGGAATCAAATTAAATGCCTTTTGTGGCTCATCAATGAGGCAATGCGATGCCCTGAGTGTGCGAAAAGTTTGTGAATTATTCGCTGGAAAAAGTGTATTCCTCTTCCCTTAAACAAAATATCCTAAACATCCTTCAACGTACAAAATTCCTGTCATAAGCCAGGAACTCAAGTCATGGCTGCCTTTACACAGCGTTAAATATTAGAGACATACTCTGCATAAAATCGCAGAAATATTTCAAATATATATCATAAAATAATACTTCTTGCCAAGTGCCAAAGAAAAGTATTCTGTGGAAGAATTCATCAGTGTGCAGCATGCAAATTCCTGGGTGTAAATTGGTCTTAATTTCCATTATGCCACGCAGACTGTTGCACACTTGCATGCGGGCCCAAAAGGCCAGGTGTCGTGGGAGCGGAATGTGATGCCACTCGAGTGCACTTTTCCGCCCACCTTATTGTTCCGAGTGCGGTGCTCTGTACAGGCACATATGCTGATGGGAAATTAACCACAGAATCAGAGCACATCAATACGTGGCCCGCAGTTAAAGCGGGTTTGCTGCTCTGAATGCTGCACCTGCTCCTGCTGCCTGGCTGCCAATTCATCGATGGCTTCCGAATGCTTACTCACTGGGAGAATTGGAACTTTAGTGTTCCGGCTTACTTTATATAAATGCTAGTCGTAATCTGCCTTCTTCTGTTCCCAGGCTAAGATATTAAAGCAAAAACGCGAAGTGAGAAGCTATAAATTAATCATAGGTAGGCTCCATAGGATTCCTCTCCCTTTGCATATGGGAAATGCTCGTCCCTGTAATTGATGATTAGACAGCAAATACTAATTTGTGGATACTTTGGCTTGCAGATTGACATCTCCTGTCGGAACACAAAGAACACCGTCAACGCGCTCCTGACGCGCACGAACTTTGTGACACTGAAGTACGTGACCGACGGCTGGGGAACGGATGCGAATGGCTTCAAGCTCGTGATTACGTCGGTGAAGGATCCCAGTAAGTGCAGGCGGATGACGAGTCCGTGCGGTTGCCATTACAAGCCCATTTCCATTGCCTTTCAGAGCACACCTGCAAGGACTTCACCTGCGCCACCCGCGAGTTCTGCATCCATCCCGATCTCCTCTGCGATGGCATCAACCACTGCGGCGACAACTCCGACGAATCCGTGCACAATCTGTGCCAGAGTGAGTACACTGTTAGCCCCAAGTAATTCAAAACAATCACTTTTTAGTTTTGTTAAGTTTTTAGATCTCAATATATTATACAAATATATAATATATGAGTATATGAATATTGATTGGTGTTTGTTGCCCTGCAATTCCAGGTGAGACGAGCAGCACGGTTTTCGGCCTGGACATGACCTGGTTCGTCCTCATTGTCGTGGGTGTCCTGCTCGTCCTGAGTGCGCTCATCGTGGCCGTGGCCATTTGTGTGTGCCGGCGCCAGGACGAGAATGCCGCCAACCAGAACACCGCGCTCCAAGGTAGGTCCTGAATATTGCTGCATTTTCCACGACACTGGCAGAACTAACTAACTATGTTTCTCCCAGTGCACCACACGGCCGACACGAACGGGTCGTCGAAACATCTGCACTACCACGGCATCAGTGTCGGCGGGACACTGACGCGGGAGCACACCCAACTGCCGACGTCGGGAAACTGGCATCACCCTGCGGGACCATCCGGGTACCACCGCACTCCACACAACTACTTGAAGATGGCCACCAAAGTCCGTCCCATTTGGTGCTTGGCAAATTCCGTCAATTAGGTCAAGATCTTTCCCACAACTCCGCCGGGCTCAGCCAGACGAACATCGCCGGAACCGGACATCCCAATGCCAACGCCGTCGGCGCTGCGCAGAAGGACGAGTGGTTCGTCTAGGACCAGGCAACACTGTGGAAGGACCGATTGACTTGAGCACAATAATCTGTACTTTATTAAGTAAATTTATGGATATTTGCAGAGCATTAAATGAAGTGAGTGCAACCTACATATACTTGATAATATCATTATACCATATTTAATCGTATGCCTTACATATCTTTTCAGGACTGTAAGACTATAATTAACAACAATTAGTGTGGACATCACCGCGCAGGGTGTATTATATAGAGATCTCTACTCGTACCCAAGCAGAATCTCGAACGCATTGGGCAGAACCTGCCTGTTCTGTCGGATAACCAATGCACTTGTAAATAGATTATAAATATATCATTTTGATTTAGCTGATTAATACTACAAGCTGGCTACACAAGATCCCACAACCCCATATCCTCGAAAACGAGATGTAATACAGCAGATTCCAAACATCATAATTTTGTGCAAGTATGTTGGCATTTATTTAGAGAATTACATATGTTTAGATGGCAATTAGATTTGAATTACTGCTCTTCGATTAAACACTTAGTTTGCATAGCGGGTTGAGTTCAATATGCACGGATTAAGATCCCCAAAGTAATGTACGAGTATAACGAATCAGATGTAGTCGCAGATTCAGAAAGGTAAACTAACATTTGAGCGAAACAATCGTAAGCATTTAATTGAATTGTGAACAGAAACCGCAAGAAGTATTAAAGCTCAACAGGAATAACCGATAACTGTCATTAATATACAACTTCCGAATCTTACAAATTTGAGATACATAACTGGCTGAGCTGCTGGCCAGGGCGTTTTTACAAAACTTAAGCTGAATTCTAATCGCAAAATGGACACAAGAAGATCAACAAAAACAAGGGATGTACATAAGTAGTCGACAATATACTTACCAAAAATAAAACAAACAAAATCGAAACTTCAAACGCGACTGTCATCTATACAATTTCACCTACCACTTGCCATTGTCCACTTGGAAGTCTGCACTTGCCCGATGATCCGCATCGGATCATCTGGGGATCATGTCGAATCTCCGATAGAAGCAAACATTTCACCGAGAGGAGAGACTCATTCCTCATCAAAGAACCGACAACCGACAACCGAAAACCGAAAACCAATGCTAACGGAAATATTCTGAGACATTAAGGACAATACAGTGAAATCTTTTGCTTTTGATACAACCAAATTGAGAGGGTGTCGTGGCATGCATTTTAACCTACAAAAGTGTCCGAAATACAATTTTCTACAATCAACCAAATGGAATTCTACACAAAATTAAACAACGTTAGCAACGTAAAAATACATAAACAGAGTTGAAACATTTTGCTACAAAATCGAATGATAACGATCATATTATATATTGACGACGAGTATATGAGGAAACATGATATGTAACTTGAGAAAAACCAAACTAAAATGCTTCAAAACGATTGTAGTACTTCCCGCCGTTAATATTTTTTTAATATATCGTACATACTACAAATACAGATGCAAGTCTTAATAATAATACTTAAACTAAGAAGCAATAAGTAAGAATTTTCCGCTGCTAAAGTTCGTCTTTCAAAATACTTCCATAGGTCCGGTTAATTAAACAGTTTAACAGTTTTGTGGCTCCCGAAATTTTCATTTCCCAGATTATAACCGAAATACAACCATATTCGATCTTCGATCTTTTGCTAAGCCAGAAAAAAGAATATCAAATTAAGTAAATAATTTTATATAAATCGGAGAGGATGGCGTTAGGTATACGTTTAACCTGATCAATGCGATTAAGTCAAATTAAATTAGTTTTGTACTTAGCAGTAACGGAAACCCCGACAACTAAATTAACTAATCTTCTAGGCATAAATTGCGCTGAATTCACATGTTGATTTCAACCTTCTTTGGCCCTTCTTTAATTTGGCAAACTACAAGCGTCTTATACTATATCATAAATTATAGGAAAATGGTATTATGATAAATTGAATTTTTAACCAAAATTATAAGCAAATTGTATTAGGCGTCAAATTTTAGAAGAGAATGAAAACCAAGAGGCAACATGCCGAGGGAAACCCATTGAATAGATATATACTATATGTTATGTGTATGGGCTAAAATCGCATTCATGCATGGCAACAAATTAATCTTAATTACTTAAAAACGATGATAATAAATGATACTAATTAATAACTGAATAACCACAAAGCTAATTTATGCAATACAGGAATATTGAATACTGAAAATTATGCGTCAATAAAACGTTTAGGCAAGATTGTATTGTAATATCTAATCGTAATTGTACTCGTAATCGCATGCCTACTCCCCACTGGTGAAAATCGGTTATAGATCATGTCGTATATGAGTGTAGTTAAATATACATATTTACCTTAATACAATTCAATCGGCACGGGAATCGATCGATCGATTGATCGATCAGGAGCAATGGGCCGTGTAGTTTGTAGACCCAGCAGGATCCCGATGATTTGTAAAAGATAAAATAGGCCAGTTTGGATGGATGGGAGATGGATGGGGAGAGCTTTTCGTTTCCCAGTGTAAGTGTTACAATGTGTTAAGAATCATTTTTTAACTTCTACTGTCTCTAAATCTCGAAAAGACTTTGCCGCAATTAGTCTAACTCTAATTATTATATGTAAATGTATCGTACACCGACTATTCCGAAAATGTCATTTTAATGTCTCCTGCTTCACCCACACGACCATACAAATGTGTGATTCAGATAACTAACGAAATCTTGAAGTTCGGTGGAAAATCATGTACACGCAGATGTAAGTTAAGTACTTTTCGTGTGGAGGGCCAAAGGTGTGAACCTCGAAGGATAACTATGGGCTTAAAAGCTATTTAAGTATAGATTGAGCCACGGACAGCAAATCGTAGTGCAAATGTTAGTCAATATTTTGCCATAGAACGTAGCATTATTTTCCTGATTCAGTTACCGCACGCATTCCAAACACAGAAAGTTCACAATAATTAGGTTTTTTTTTTTGATTTGTTAAATACAAAATAAAAGAGAATGCATACCTAACAGCGACGGAAATAACTGGGAGATCAAACAAACTAACCCAAATCGAACGAATGAGCCTAGGGGATCGCGTAAAGTAATGCTTAGCTTTGTGTTAAATTGCTGTTGAATATAAATGTAATTGTACAATGATAATAATTACGATGGCATCAAACACACTCAGACACACAGATCATCCACGAAACACATCAGCCATGAACCATGCAGAAAACAGAACCCAAATCCAAAAGAAACTAATTATATTAAATAAAGAATATAAAACGTTAAATTCAAGTATTTTTTTAACGGATGATTAGCTGAAAGTAAGTGTATGGGTATATTAAATAACAAGGCATATCCCGATGGACTTAAGCCTCAAAGATGTATCTTTAACTATAAAGCAGTATCCCATAAAATTCAATCAGTGCTACTGAAGGACTGAAAACATCAAGGGCTACGAGATAGAATATATATATTATCTGCTGCTTAGACAGTGAACTCCTCCGATGAGGATGCCTCCGTGTCGGCATAGAGGATCATCTCCAGGTTCCGCATCCTGCGCTTCTTCTCCTGCCGGCGCTTGCAATGAATTTGCGCGAGGCAGTTCAGCGAGGATACTATGAAACAGGTGACCATGATGAAGGCCAAGAGCTCAAAAGCCCGAACCAGAAGGTTCAGATAAGCCAGGGATTCGGAATTGCCTGTTCCGTGCATCTGCTGCTTCGTGGATCGCAGAAGGTCCCTGATCATCTGCTCCATCGGGGGTCCCAGATAAGGTAGCTTGCCCAGAGCGACCACAAACTTATCCACTATATTCTCGGTCAGAGAGGCGATAACGAACAACTGCTGTATGGTGGCTTTGACCAATGCCTTGCCGATCAGGGTGGCCACAAAGAACTTCCAAAAGGGCACCAGAAAGTGGCCGCAAGTTATACCGGCCAGGTCGAACAGAGGATTGGGAATGCTGGCGCAGAGTAGTATTCCCAGGAAGCCCACTTTTCGCATTACCCGTTCCATGAACAGCTTGGCACGGTCAAAGATGCCCAGCTTTCCGCTCATTCGCTTTCCATCCAATAACTTGTCTCCCTCCGCTCCATCCAACTCCTTGCCGGAGAGTCGTGCTCTACGTGCCACAAAATAAGGCGGCAACTCCCCGAGAGCAGTGCCAATGCCCCAGAGCAGCGCCTCCGGACGCACCTTTGCTAAAATTTGCCAAACATCTGGGCAATTCCGCTGGTACGGCTCCTGTGGACAGACCTTCATGTCCGGATACGGAGGAGTGGGAAATTCCAGGGTCTGACACTCGTAGGCGGCCAGAGTAACTGCTGCTAGGTGGGGTCCCAGGTAGAGCAGAAAGGTGTGCAGCCCGGTGCCAAAGCCCACAGATGACAGCACGCCCAGCCCCAGCCAGTAGACCGCAAATCCAAACCTCTGCTTGCAGAAAATCACGAAATCCGCATGTGGTCCCGGCAGTAAACAGAAGATGCCCAACAGAAGCAGAACGCCCATCAGCCACAGATTCAACAGCCTTGCGGTGAAGGATAGCAACAGTTGACCGGCCTCCAGGCTCCCATACTTCAAAGTCTGCACTGGACGACGCCACAGAACCAAGGACTTCCATTCCAGCCGCTCTTGGACCACTTCATCGAAGGGATCTATTTCATCGACCAATGCAGTGTTTGTTGCCGCAGTGTAGTTGCTGGCAGCCATGATTGCTGCTCCTTTTTCCACACTAGGCACTGTGCTATACAGTGTTTTGAGTCTAGTGCCCAGAAGATTTTGATAAGAGTATTCACCCATAGCAGCAAAGTCGACTATGATTTTGTGTTTCTTTAATAACATGTAAATAAGATTTTGAATTCAGGTAAATAATAATAAGGTAATAATTATGTCGAAATTAATATCTCGAGCCTCTTCATTCAGTATACTGTATTTATAGTATGAATAGTTCTTATATATGAGGATTTCTTAATTAGTTTGATCTGTTGTATTATAAAGCGTTTTATGTTGCCAAAAATTCAAAGGACCAGGGGGCAAAGGTTTAAGCCTGCCCTCGAAATACTCATTTTTTGCAGCCTCCAAATGCTCATCCTCGGCCTGATATTTATATGAACTGATCTGAGTGATAAAGTTCTCGATTTCTGAATTCTCTTGCGACCCAACTGCCTCGTCCTTCAAAACGTGCAACATTTTAGCACTGCATTAAATAATCGGTTAATAGGAGTTTACAAACAGAATATTGAACACTCACATGGTTAAAAAGTGCGATTCGTCCAGGCGCAAATTGACCACCATATTTAAGATATACTTCATTGGCAAAAGACGATTCCGGTGACTTGAATTGGTAAGCTCCAATCTCCTAATGCGCATGTTTTTGATCAAGAGATTGAGCGAATCTTTAAAGATAATTAAACGCAGCAGCCAGGAGTCGAAAGCGCTGGAATTGTTATCAATCAGTCGAAGATGGGCAGTTAGGGCACTCAAACCCTTCCTGTTCAGGTTGGAATCTTTGTAAATATGCAACTGAATTACGGACATGCAATAGACATAGCTTTCAATCCGATACTCTATTAAAACATTTACAAGCTCTATAATTTCGGAGTCCAGATATTTTATTGAAGACTAGAATTAAAAGAACGTATTATAAAAGTTAAAATTTGGTTTTTAATTCTCCGATTTGTTCCAAAAAAAACCCTAAAGCTTACCATTTTGTATTGCATTAGTACCTTCCATATTCGATTGGTGGGAGGGTCGAATTTCTCTGTCTTTATAAGTAGACGAAACAAATAATGCATATCGGTAACATAAGTATTGTAAAGTATTTCAGGCAGTGATTCACGTTGTAATGGCATTATTATTTCCAAGATCCTATCATATGCAAAAGAGTCAAGGATTGAATATGGTAGCTGGTTGATGTGCAATATGAGAATGGAGCAAACAAAAAACTTTGCTCGTTTTAAGTCTATGTTTTCCTTCCTCAGTTCGGAAACGCAAAAGTCTTGCAGGCGCTTTACCAATGCAGATATCTTTTCGCTCATCTCGTCGTTCGAATCTTTGAGATCTCCGTGCAAAAGAACCAGCATGGTAGCCAAACTTTCGGACCCATAAAGAGCTGAAATGCAAAAACCTTAATCAATTGTTTATTCCTAAAAACCCGTCGTACCTTACTTATATTTTCATTTAGTGTAGGCATTTCCAGCACAAATTTGGCGAGTGTTTCGTAAATGTCCGCCACATAGCGAACATGAAGCTTATTAGCTATTAGGACGGCATGGACGCGCATGTAGCTTTTGGCATATTCCTTCAAGAGCTCCTGCATTTCTGGGCTCTCGGGATCGGTGTTGTTCAGCTGGTTCTGCAATGAAGCTTGCTCATCTCGCAAAGCCCTCGACGTAGAAGTATGTATCTGAATGTTCCCAGTTGCATCCACGGAACGCGATATATTCACGTAGAGCCGATGGTACTCATTCTCGTTGATGGTATCATCATTCAGAAAATTATCCAGACAGCTGCTCTCCAAGTTTAAAAGCAACTGCAAGAAAGTTGTAAATAAGTATTAAATAGATAACTCTAATTATACTGTT